TTGCAAACACGTATCCTCACATGATGAGCTTCCTATTTCCCTTTCTTGTTGACCTGTGGGAAAGAGCAAGCTGTGGGAAGAGCTTTGAGTTCCTTTAACGCAAATGTGTACTTCCCACCTGCAAAGCACCTTATTATTTCCAGGCATATTGTATTCACAGTCTCCTTCCTCTTTAGAACTCCTTTGTGAGCACGGGACTGCTATTCCCACCTTATCGGTAAGGAAACCAAGACAGTGAGAAGTTGCTACTGGTACAAGGCCTGTCACCTGTCACCTTGTAGGTGCTAGGCTCTCTTGCTTTTCCTCTATAGACTACTACCTCCTATGCATTTACTGATTTTTATTTATTTTTTATTTTTTTAATGTTTATTTTTGAGCAAGAGCAGGCATGGGGGAGGGTGCAGGGGTGGGGTCAAAGGATCTGAAGCAGGCTCTGTGCTGACAGCAGGGACCCCAATTCAAGGCCCGATCCCACAAACCATAAGATCATGACCTGAGTCAAAGTTGGACGCTTAACTGATTGAGCCAATCAGGCACCCCCACATTTACTGATTTTTATGTATTTATTTAAAAATATGTATTTATTTTGGGGAAAGCACAAGCAGGGGAGGAGCAGAGAGAGGGGGATAGAGGATCTAAAGCGGGCTCTGTGCTGACAGGCTGACAGCAATGAGCCCAATGTGCGGTTTGAACTCATGACCTGCGAGATAGTGACCTGAGTCAAAGTTGGATGTTCAACCAACTGAGACACCCAGGTGCCCCTGCTGAGTTTTAAATAAAGCATATAACTCAGGAGCAGTCAAATGGAAGAGATACATAGGTCAATGGATGTGGGGAGATGTGCAGAGCATATGGAGGCAGGGTATGGAACTTCCGTGCTCTTTTCCAAGGATACCGCTTTCCCAGCACCTTGATGTAATCACCAACCAGGAAGCTCCACTCTGTCTTCTTTGAAGGACTACCAGCACCACTATCATTATTTGAGACTGTTTGACACACTCAAATAATTTTAAAAATTTACCTCAATTTTATTAACATTTTAAAGTCCATTCCCTCTAGATAAAGGGCAATAATAATTCCCATCTTGAAATAAACTTGAAAAAAAGACACCCAACAAATGTTAACTGACTTTTTTCATGTGCTTTTATCATATCATCAAGCAGATTAAAAGCCTTCATTTGTCATCTATATCCTCTTGCCTCAAGTCCAAATTTTTGCCTCCCAAGATTGTTCATAATCTTTGTTATTTATACTCGTTTGTTCATTTATCCATTCTTTTAGTAAACAGATGCTTACCATTTAACAATTTAAGAACTTCTTTTTTTTTAGATGTTTATTTATTTTGAGAGAGAGAGTGCACATGCACAAGTGGGGGAGGAGCAGAGAGAGAGGAGAGAGAGAATCCCAAGTAGGCTCCCCGCCAAGTATGGAGACTGACGGGGGGCTCGATCTCACAAACCATGAGATCATGAACTGAGCCGAAATCACGAGCTGGACACTGAACTGACTGAGCCACCCAAGGACCTTTTTAAGATAAGAAACTATGAAATAAGAAACACAAGCTTCTCCTTAAAAAATGAGGTCAGTTTAAATTAAAATAACAATCATGAAGAAAATTACTTGGACACATAAAAGTACTCCAATAGTTCAGAAACCATATAGTAAATATCATCTGGGATCTGGTATGGAAACTAAATTGACTAACAGGTAAACTAAAGGAAGAATGTATTCACTGACTACTCAAATAAGGCAAAGGTGTCATACAATGTTAAAAAGAAACCATGTTCTTTTCTCTACCACCGGGACACATTTCTCCCCAAATCAATGCAAAGAGGTAGATTCTTTTGCTCAATTTTCTCCTACAGTTTCTGTTATGAACCTATATGACATGAAGAAAGCCTGTGCGTCTGTGTAGGCCTCAAGTTTGGTGAACCATGATTTTAGGCAACCATGGGAAGTCATAAAGCATGCTTAACATAGGCGGTAATAGCTATTCAAACATTGTTGGGGGGAAAAACCAACTTTCTTTGCCTTAAATTTCCTTAAGGCAGTTTTGTTATAATACCATTATCCAACTCTTATCTAACTGACCAATTTGAGACAGGGTAATGAGCGTGCTTATTTCACTGTTTGGGATTTAATAGTCTACAATAGGGCGACGGGGGGGTGGGAAGGAGAAGAAAACATTCGGTCTTCAGTCTGTCATGCTTAAAGTAGTCTGCTGACTCTCATAAAGGAAACCTGAAATTATTCACTTGGAGAAGGATGGGAATTATAAGTTTGTCTAGTTTAGAACAGGAGTTATCAACTCTAGCACTACTGACATTTTAGATTAGATAATTCATACGTCTTTGTTTTGTAGGGCTGTCATTGTGTTTTATGTTTAGCAACATCCCTGGCCTCTTCTGCTAGTGGCATTAACAACCACCCCTCCCATTTGTGACAACTAACATCTTCTAAACATTGCCAAATGTCGCTGGGGACAGAGGCTGAGACAAACTGCCCTCTGCTGAGAATCAATGACTTAGAATAAGGAAAATCTTTGTGGCTATACACTTAAGTCATGTGCAATTCAGCTCACATCAATAATAAAACCATTTTCCATCTGTCTCATGACCATGTCTAGCTTTCACCTGGTTATGAACTTGGGAAGAGAAAAGGAGGAGTGTTATTATTGTCTCTGCCAAACCCCTTCCTACATCAATGACTTCAGATGCAATGAACTTCTTCAATTTTAAAAATTATTGTCTCTACTATAGTTCCATTCTCTGATGCACTATTGACTTTAGAACAAATTCTGGGATTTGAAACAAAGACTCAGTCTATTATCTAACCTTTCTAATGGTCTTAAAAATAAAGCAGCCCTTTTGACTGTTATTAAACCTAAAATGTAGTACTTTGTTTTATTCTTTGACACCCTTCAAATTAGAATTGCTGTCTGACAAATATGCTTTATCGATTTCTACTTTCTTGTCAAAAGATTCTACCTAGAAATCTTTCATGTTTTCGTGGGCCCTTCAGAAAAACAAAATCAAACAAAGCAAAAACAAAACAAAACACACCCCACAACCATAGAAACACAAATCTCTAAAGACCCAGTTTAACTCCCAACTTCTGATGAATTACAGAATTAATGAACATCGTATGGAGCTTTTCAAGTTTATAAACACAGAAAAGAAGTCCCAGGCAGAGATGTGATTTGCCTAAGGCCACAGAGCCAACCGGTAGCAGAACTAGATTGAAAGCCCCTGCCTCCTAAGTCCTAATTTAATACTCTCAACCCTTCACCACTTGGATGACTGTTGTCATAGCTGCCTTCTCCAAAGTCTTAACAGCATTTATAGCATTATAGTACCTATAACTCTTATAGCAGCATGTTTTTACTGCTTAACTTAAAAAAAAGTTCTTATGTATTTTTCTCTTTGCTTCTTGACTAAATTATAAGGTCTGTGAGGACAAGGACCATATCAAATCTCTGCCGCATGACTCCATGTATAGTTCTGAGTACCAGGAAGGAGCCTAATAAATCTATAATGACTCGCTGCCATCCCTGCTGGTAGGACAAAGCAGCCCAGGGCACGTGAGTAGCATCTTCTTAGGGTTTTTAAATTTTAGGTAATTTTGGAAGTAAATTTCATGTGGAAAACTAAAACATGACTGTTTCCTTCTGCATGTGTACACAGCACTAGACGAAGCACAGCAACTTATTTTTACCCATTTAATCCTCTCAGCATGCCTTGTGAGGTAAGTTCCATTATTTTTCTCATTACGTACATGGAGAGACTGAAGCAGGCAGAGAGGCTAAACAGCATGCCCAGAGTTTCATCACTTAGCAAGTCTACAAAAAGTTAATAGGTGAAGACATTCATGTAATTTACAAACAATGATCTTCCCTACACATCTATTGTCAAAGCTAATCATTTGTTTTCTGTGTGATGTTCAGTCTTCATTACAGCAAGTAGGGCCAATGAGCAAACAAAAATCATTTTTATACTGCCTTTCCATCTTACCAGGCACATGGTATATGTATATTTTATAAACTAGCATCTCAATGAACAAAAACATATTTAACATATAGGCTTAAATTAGTAGAAATAAAATAATGATTAATAATATTAATAATTATTCTTCTCCATTATAATAATTTGAAATCGAATCTGAAGCATGGAAAGAAGAAGGTTAAGAATATAGATAACTAAACACATTAAATTAAAATCAAAAAGTGAAGAAGAGAGAATAGGCTTAGGTAATAAATTTGTTAGATCAGTAAAATAAGTATTTCATAATTCTAGGAGGTAAAGTATATAAAATGGAGTATACTACTATCTCAATTATGTCTTAGAACTAGGTGGTTTATATACTATTTCTCCTCAATTGCGCTCTGCCAATTCACAAGGAAAAAGAGAATCCCAGTTTTAGGATGTGGACTAAATTTCCTCTGCGTTATGATTAAGTCTCATAAAGGAGAAATAAAGGAAAAATTTAAAGAGCTCTTTATTACTGTGGTGCAGCCAAGGGTTGACCATGCTTGTACATATATTACCTTCAGTTTGTATAATGTTGAAAAATACCACTCTTATTCAAAAGCTCTAGCAACAAGTATCCACCTAGGATACAAACTGATGCTATTTCATCCTTCGTGGACCAGATCAAGGCAGGTGGACAAAGTCATGAGAGTTTTGATTATCCTCAAAACAAAATGAGAATCACAATTCATGGTATAGTTCCATCTTATTATAACTGTTTAAATTTATGATTTCCCCTTGATGACAATGGAAAACTAGCCAGTTACCCAAAAGAAAATTTCGTTTCATGCTTCCTTCATGTCTGCATTCTTGTATGTTAAATCCAGAGATCAAGATCTGAATCTAATGCAGTTATGTCCACATTTGGGATGTGGGGCACGGTCGTGGGAGTCCTCACATAGGCTGCCAAAAGACGCGAATAGAACAGAAGTGAAATAAAAGATCAAAAAACCTCAGAGAGGAGTCGCTACTCACAATGTTCATCAGGGTGAGGAGGTAGTTTTGGACGTGCTCTTTGCCATGGAAGCGGACCACGGAGTCGTCCACCCCCAGCAGCACCTCAATGTTGTAATCGTTCTCTCCCGCGTGTCTGCGGCGCCTCGCTGCTTCCTTCAGCTGCTGCTCAATGCTGCTGGAAATAGTATCTACATCGTCAAGGCCTTCCAGATCCGACTCTATTAAGAAACAAAAGGAACTCAGGCATTTCAGCTTCCCCGACGGGACTTCTAACAGCTTTTTACAAAAAAGGGATCGTCTAGGGGGTCACTATACTCCAGTCACTAAGATGCTGCTTTACAGAATGTACACATGCATACGAGCAGACAGACTGTGCTGATTCAACATGGAATAGCAACACTGAGGGTAAAGTAATATTATTGTACGGGAAGCGCCATGGCCACACTGAATGTTCCAGATGAGAAGAGGGTGTAGTTTAGTCTTCCTCTAGCTGCATCATCAGTGCAGAGCAAAGAAAGTGGGGATACAGACAGAGCAGTTGTCAAGTAGTTATTAAATACATGGAGGTGATAAACAAAAAAATCATGTGTTGATAAGTTTAGAGTGATTAATTTAAGTCCCTATAATCCTAGGCTGGAGGGATGGAATCTGTATCACGTAAATTTAATTTTTTTTTTTAACATTTATTTATTTTTTGAGAGACAGAGCATGAGCAGGGGAGGTGCAGAGAGAGGGAGACACAGAATCGGAAGCAGGCCCCAGGCTCTGAGCTGTCAGCACAGAGCCCCATGGGGAGCTCAAACTCAGGAACCATGAGATCATGACCTGGGCTGGAAGTCAGTCGCCTAACCGGTTGAGTCACCCAGGTGCCCCTGTATCATGTAAATTTAAATTACTCCTTTTACCAGTAGCCTTAACTTAAAAACCAAATTAGAGCATGGCAACACAAGAGCATCTGGTGCTACAACTATTAGTCACAATATATTACTTTATTTCTTATGCGGATGGTTTTCTAGTGAATGATGCTAGGGAGACACTACAGGTCTCCACATTTGTACTGGGCATCATCTAGATAGCAGGTCACTTCAACAGCTATATATGTGACTCTGTGAGACACCAAACTAAGAAGTCAATCAGAAAATACCTTCATCCAAAGAAAAATAAAATAATAAACATTTTTTTTATTTAATACAGTTGAAGCTATTTATTTTTTTTTATTTTCCAAATAAATCTCTCTCTCTCTCTCATACACACACATGAAAGAGAGACACACACAAATATCCATATACATCCATCCATCTATCTATCTATCTATCTATCTAGAAAGAGAATGAGAGAGGCATTCTCAATTTCTAGTTATCTTGTTTATCTACTTTCAGCTTACCATACTTTTGGTGAAGAAAAATGTTTTTGTGAAATGAAAAATAAAATTTATCACTTGGAAGCCAAAACAAAAGATATTTTCCAAAACTGCTGGTACGAAACTGAAAGCAAAATTCATTTCCATTTCAAATATATATAAGCTGGAAAGGATTTTATTTTACAAACTGCCCTGACGCCTATAACAACCCCATACCTAAAAACAAGTTTGAAAGAACCAGTTCTGACTCATGGGAGTCTTACTTCATGCTTCACTAGGGCCTGTAAGCCATTTGAATCGGTGTCTGACATTAACAAATAGGCATTTTCCTCTCCACCTTTGTGGTTTTAGTAAGGTTGAAGGGGGAAAAAAAAAGGTGTCTCTTGGCCGGGAAGATTGATGACCAAGCCCTAGACACATGGGATCAGAAGTAGTAGAAGTACAGATTTTACTCACACCCTTTCCACTACTAACAAACACACAGATACACCAGAACTCTCCCTTGGAAGGATGGGCAAGGGACTAGTGAGGTTTGAAAGCCATACTGTAATTCACTTTGACCCAAACCCAAATGCTAGATCATTAGCTGGGAATTTTCTTCTCATTGGGGAATCACACTGACTCCACAATACATAAATAGCTCTCACCGCCATCCACATCAAACAGAAAGTTTTCCTCAAAAGTTGTTTTTAAGCACTGTAACCCACATTGAGGGCAAGAGACTACACCTGCAAACAGCTTTACCTAATTCAACCTCAAGCCTTTCACACACTTGAGAAAGTGAAAGGTTGTGATAGCTAGTGTACAAACAGGAAACTCATACACGAGCTCCCAGTTCTAAAAATGGTTCTTTTTGGCAGAACGGCCAGTGACAGTGTCCAATGCAAATATAGTAGCAATGTCATCATATCATTAAGTCTGATGCATGAATGGAGAAGGCTGAATACTTATTTCAGAAAGACAGTTCATTCTGCTCTCATACACCTTTGGTTTGGCCTTTGAATCCCTCCTTAAATAGGTGGTTTTCTGGTAAGAGAAGAGAATCTCTTTTTCCATTGCATGAGGAACCTGGAAAGGAAGAAGGAAGCCTTTTTCTTTTAACCATTGCCTTGATTCAGTCAAGAATACTCCTGTCCCTATTCCCCCCACTGTGCTGTACAGTGCTCTTTCTATGATTCCTAAAGTGAGTACCGTCAAACGTTTCAAAGAAAGACAGGGGAATAATTTCTGGCGTTTTTTATCCATATACACCAGCATTAATTACAGACAATTCTGAGGCTGTGAAATATCTTCACTCACAAAGAAATTTTCCCAGCATGTCCACTCTGTAAGGTAACTGTCATGGGCGTTGTAATCAGACATACCTGGCTCCAAATCCTGGCAGTGTCATATCCTAGCAATGTAAATTCAGTTAAGATGCCTAGCCTCTCTAAATCTCACTTTCCTCATCTGTAAAATGGGATAATACCTAATCTGCAGAGTTGCTATGAAGGGACGATTATAATAAAGGCACCGTGTACAGTGCTTAGACGTAAGTGCTCAACAAATAGCATTCACTGTTACTACTATCGTGATGATGATTATGATTTCCCATTAAGAGAAGTCTCCTACACCTTTTATAGCTTTCTACATTTTATTTATATATGACAAATCAAATAGTGTTTTTTTAAATAGAGGTCAGAAAAAAAATTAGAATTAGTGAAGGGAAATCTGAACTGCTAATAACTTTAGAAAGAATAAGGGTAACAATATTTCCCGAAAAGCATAACGTTGGTACAAGGAGAAAAGAATCTAGAATGTTTACTTTCAGGTAAATTAGGATGACCCCCAATGGGACAAACTTGTTTAGTAGATTAAAAAACCTAACGCAAAACTGGACACAGTCTGCTTATAGATGGTGCTGATTTTCACTCAATGCGTATTTATTGAGTACTCACACATAGCAGACCCTGAGAAGCTAAAGAACCAGTTGGCACGTCCGTAGGTGTCAACTCTGGGAACCACAAAGTCGTACTCGATTATATTCAGAGTGGAGCTGAGTTTGTATCATGTAGTCACAAACCATGATATAGGCTGGAATCACACAATCTCTAGTTTAAGCAGATCTAGGCAGGATACAGAACATACCTGTGGGTAATAGCTTACACCTTTAGAAAGCTTCCGAGTTTAAAAGCTGACACATGCTTTGGCAAAATTTAAGATGCCTCTGTGTCTAATTCTACCATTATTTCTGTACCCCATGAAATACAGGAACAGGAAAAATTAAAGGTGAGCATCATGCTAATCATGTCCACACTCACAACACCCATCAGATCTGTTTACTGCAAAAAGGAGTGAGAAGAATCACAGAGAAGGCAATAGGCAAGTTCAGGAAGGGAAAGCATAGTTACATTTTGCATTGGGAGTAGCAAATTGGATCTGTGGTGGCACCCTGTTGGCATCCTCTTAAGTAAGTGCATCCAAGGTGACTGGAATGGCTGTAGCTGAGTTGGACAGCAGATAATGATAGATGTGATAACAGAATCAGTGGAAAGACTGGACATTTTTAAGATGAATAAATAAATAAGGCCCTGCAGTAGGTACAGTGTGCTTCATTCCAGAAAAGGGATGCTCATAGTACCTCTCAAGTTTCCCAGAAATAACAAAGTCAGTCCTTCTTAGTACTTAGAGTGAGTGAGTTTCACTTTTTCAAACGTTTTTGCAACTTACCTTTCAAGTTATTGATATGAATTAATTAACATTTTGGGAACATTTTGATTTTACCCCTTTTTGTACTCCCTACCTTCCCAATTATTGTATGTGAACTTTCAACAAAGTAATTTTACTACAAAGCCTATGTTACTGAAGATATATAATATTTGGGGATGCATAGGTGACCAACTAAGGCAAAATAAATATAGTTATTTTTAGTGTTGAAGATAGGATTATTAGTGTTAAATCAGTACTTTGAATTTACCAAACAGATAAAGGAGAATATAGGTTGTTTTGCTGATTATGAACACTTCAGCTTAAGACATTTTCAGGATGGAATATGGCATATCTACATACCTAATCATATTTGCAGGAAATCTAAGTGTAGATTGGTGAAGTTACTCCCACCCCAAAAGAAATTCTATAGTCTAAAAAATGTCAGGAGACAAAGGCAAAATTAGAAAAGTACAAGTTCTGATCAAGTTCTGAATCTGATACAACTACATTAGGGGTTAAAAAGTAATCTCAAGCATACGGTGTCAGACTGTGATAGAATCATCTCTTCTCTATCCAATCTCTCCTCCCTAAGGAGAAGAATGTTAATTTTATTTGAGGTGGTAATGAACCCAGCTAAAAGTCACTCCTAGTCTCTCTTGGCACAAAGGACCACACGTGACTAAGAATAATTCAATGAGATATAAGCAGAAGTATTGCTTATACTTCAGTGGCTTAAAATGGCTGGCATGAAAGGCTTCCCCCAAGGCTCCTCAAAGGAATGTGATTCATCTTGGTAGATTAGACCTTTTGGTTCTTTACTCAGTATTCCTTCCTGCTTCCTGCAATGTAGACACGATGTCAGGCGTTCTATGAAGTAGCCCTACACTCAAGGCATGTGCTTAGTATGAAAGGGTAGCTATAAAAAAGAGATCTGACCCCACAACGACTATGGAGCTGGCATCCCAGCCCTGGACTGCCTAGCATCAGCCTTTATTACACATGGGGGAGAGCCCTTCCATCATGCTTAGGCCAAGTTTGAGTTTTCTTTTGTATGTCACTGAATCTAGTCCTAAGAGATAGGACACTGATGATAATTTTATTATGTAAATTCCTCATGCTTCCCTGCTCCATTTGGGAATGACAGTCAATATTTATGTGAATAAGTGGATG